GATAAACTCTGAAAAAACTAAACTGCAATAGAGACCAACATTAAATACAGTATCTTATTGCATGATTGTTTCAAAGGACTGTTTAAAATCTAAGCTAATCTGGAAACCTACCAACTCCACAGATCTTTAATCTTTTTTTAGCTCTATTTTTAAAGATATTTTTTCCCCATTAATAACTCAAGAATTATTGAAGTAAAAAATAGTTTGATATTTTCAGAGCTTTGTAGTCAATACACCTAGCAACTGACACAATTAAAATTTCAGAAATCCTAAGCATAGCACAAATTCCACTGTATTCATTCTTAAGGAAAAAAGAAAAGCCCGAAAATAGCATTGAAATTTCAGTAAAGGACAACTTCTGCATGCTTATGAACTGTGACAACTTCTGCTTTCTGCTTCTGCCTTTCCCTTTTTACATTTCCTCTTCAAAATTCAGTGGCACAGACCTATAAGAGGACAGCAGAAACAATTCTGGTGTTATTCTTTCCACGTTAATAACCATTTTGGATGTATGAATTTTTCTAAAGTCCACTAAAAAAAAATCAGATTTGGGTTTGCTTTACAAGACTTTAAACTTTTTTTAGGAAAAAACACAGCAAACAAAATCCTAGAACAATTTGGGTTGGAAAGGACCTTCATGATCACCTTGTTCTAATACCCTGCCATGGCCAGGGACACCTTCCACTATCCCAAGCTGCTCCCAGTCCAAACTGACCTTGGACACTTCCAGAGATGGGACAGCCACAGCTTCTCTGGGCAACCTGCACCAGAGCCTCCTCACTCTCACAAGGAAGAAATTCTTCCCAATATCTAATCTAAATCTCTCCCCTTCTACTTTAAAACTGTCCCCCTTTTCCCAACCCTATCTGCTCACATAAAAAGTCACACTCCCTATTTTTCCCCAAGTCCCTTAGGCATTGGAAAGGGCTCCAAGGTCTCCCCAGACTCTTATCTTCTCCAGGTGAACATTCCCAGCTCCAGAGCAGAGGTGCTCCAGTCCTCAGAGCATCTTTGTGGTTTCCTCTAGATCCGCTATAGCAGGTCCAAAAAACAGCTTTATAATCAAGACAGAAAAGGAAAAAAATACCTGCATTGCTCTCTAACACAATATTCCCAGTGCTTCCTCCAGCACAAACAGTATTTTATTCTCAGTTTCCCCCTCTTGGACAAAATGGAGAAAATATGAATAAACACCACCAAATCACTAAAAAGTAAAGCAGAAAATGAGGCGCTCACAACTCTGGTTCAGAAGGGATGGTTTAAGTGAGCCAGCTTTGGAGCTGGGGATTGCGACCCTGCTGTGGAAATCCTCAGCACTTTACAAACCAAATGTGCCACTCCAGAGCTCCCACTCCCCCACCCTGACTTTCAACATCTAATTCTCTCCCAAAAGCCAGCTGCAGCTTGCCAGCCCAAACACTGAATTACCAAAGCAATCACCAATCTTGAGCCATCACCATTTGACATCTCTCACCAATTCTCTATGAGCTTGCAGAAAATAATTTCAAACAGCTCCCTCAAGAAAATAAGTTTCAAGCCTTAGTTTTTTCCATCCCAAGCCATCCCTGCACTATTTCATAGCTCTGATAATTATACCACTGACTAAATCTCCAACTGGGAATAGCTGTTTTTATCATTACTATTAAAAACAGTCCCTCACACTGCTAGAAATCTGGAAATTCGCTGGAGCTGCATCCCACCCTTCGGCCTCTCAAAACACTACACAGCAATGAAAGTATGTGCTGAAACCAGAGGATCCCTGTGCTGAACAACTCCTGTAATTTCTGGGTAACTGGAACTGCTTCCTAAGCAAACCATGGAGGCTTGGTTATTGATTTTAGAGGGGCAAGTGGCACCAGAGCTCTGAAAGTCAAAGTTTTCCATACTGGACTGGGAAAGTTTCGTTACTTTCAGAAATGCAGCAGTGACATGCATGCTAAAAAGCTCCTCATATTCACCTAGTTTTGTAGTTTTTATGCTTTTTTAAAAAAATTAAAGTATAAAGATCATCTGCAGTTTTCCTTTCCTAAAAGCACATTATCTTCATTTTACACCTTGGCCAGAAGGGTGACTGACAGCTCTCAGAGAAGTAGCAAGATGCAGAAAAACAAGAGTTGAAAGAAAAGTGGATTTTAAAAAACAGCTTTTAATTATCTGAAGGTACGGTTGCCAAGTAGAGAGCAAGGAGGCTGTGCATCACTTACAGATGGGAAAATTCCCCCAGGTTGATTTCACAGCCAATTACAGTGGATTAACCCATTAGGAAGAACAAAACAGATATATTTTTTTTTGTGGATGCAGGTTTCAACAGTTTGAAAAATCATTGCCACTGGTACTTTGATACACAGGATCAGCAATCTGTTTTATCACACGTCAAGTCATCACCATCCATAAACACACCCTAGAAAAAAAACCTCACCCTCTTTTTTAATGCACCTTCTGTCATTATTTCCTTCCCAGGGAACGCCATCTCTCTTGGCTCCCCATTTTGAGTATCACTTCATATATCAATACTACTTTTATTGTTGTTAAAGAGAAGCATCAAACACCTTCAAGCTGTTTTACACACACCTTTGCACACACATATAAAATATATCTGCCAGATGCCATTGTATAAGGAATTTGTCAAAAGAAAAGCACCAAAGCACTGATTTTCAGCTTTCCAGGACCCCTCTGCTAAATCCTGGGTGTGCCTACTTTTGTTTGGTATCAAGTTCCTCCAGCTGGCTCCGCTGCAAGAGCAAACTACAGGGATAGTTAAGTTTTTCCCCACCACCAAACACATCTGTTCCTTTTCTGACTTCTCCAGACTTCCTTCCCCTGACTGTATCACAAAGCCTCTCTTTTCAGCAAGGCTGCCTTCTTGATAGTCCCTCACCATTATCTTCTTGTTCTCCGCAGAGCAGCTCGAATCACTGGGTCTTGCAGAGCTTCCAGTCCTTTCAGCTCAAGGCCAGGATCTGAATTCAAGCACTGTGATTTACAGAGAGGGGTGTTAAACTTCTTCCCTGATTCTTTTTTTTTAGCACTCCACAGTTTCCTGTCCTGGGAGGCAACCAAACTGCCACAAGAAATGCCAGTTTCTGTTAAATATCCTCAATTCCTGTGACACTGAGCATTTCAAACAATTACATTCCTTCCAAATCTTGCACTATAACAGCTTTTATCCCACAAAGTTCAGAGATGAGCAAAAACTACTTTAGCACCAAGAAGTGTGAGTTGGTTATTTGCTGCATCTCACAGCATTCCTAGTTAACATTCAGGCTTGGCACGACCCACCATCCACTTGAGCACACAGCACAATGTCACCCCTCAAAACCCCACTGTTCAACCTAAAGGCACTTTTTAAATTTTTTTATTTTATTTTAAGGGTGCATCAGCTGCTCACTGAAAGTGGGAATGCTTCATTTAGCACACACACACTTGTTAAACCGCTCACAGCATGCAAATAAAACACCACATTGTGCAAAAGTCATTCAGTCTCCCCATCCATAGATATGTGCAATGGAACCGGGGCCAGGAAAGAGAAACTTGGAACAATGTGCAAATATTTCAGTCCCTTATTCCCAGCATTCACATTTCGGGCTAAAGCCCACAGCCCTGTCATGCTGAGGGGTGACCATGTTTGAGAATCTGCCCTGTGCAACGGGTGGGAAAACGACCATTATCTGTCTTACCCCTGGACTGCACCCTTTTATTTGTAGTTATTACTGCAAACTGCCTTTTTTTCCAGACAATGGTTGTGTTATTATAGGTACCTTCATGCCGTGCCAAAGCACATACACACAGCAATTCAGAACAATCAGCCTTGTTTTCATGGGAGCAAAGGTTGCAGCCAAATGAAATGGGTGGAGATCACATTAAACAATCTTGGAATCTGCTAATAGGATATAGGAAAATGTGACCATAATGCAGATGCGGAGTTCCCCTTTCACCTTCCAATGTTATGGATAAAATAAAAGCTTTGGAAAACCAATTAAACTGTTTGAACAACATTAAGCAAGTCAAAGTGTTCTCAGGGTGCTTACAAGACCACTGAGAGGGTCTTTAAAATTAAAAGAAAGCAGTACCCTTTCAAAGCTCTGAAACCAGAGAGCACTTCTCCCCACCCCAGAAACGATGATCTCTTCCACCACCTGTTTTAAAGATATAGGAGACCTGCAAGTCATCTGCTTCTCCATGGTGAAGAGAAGCTCAGCAAGACAACTGGTCCTGTCTTAGAAACAGGATCAGCCCCTCCTCTAAGTAGGGAATTTTCACACTGAGGCACCTTGGCCGGTCAGCTGTACCCTGCATTCCCCTTGTTTGCTTTTGAGATGTGCATTAGTCAGCTTTCTCCTCCACAAATCTGATTGTGCCTCTGCATGATCGTGCACTGAAGTCATGTCCTTGAGCGTGTGACATCAGTCTGTTGCCATGGCAATGCACAGGGCAGTCCAAAATTCAGTATTATGGCATCACTGCGGGATCAGACAGCAGAACAAGCCAACGCCTGAGAGCTGGTTAATGCAGCACGAACAGCCAAGACATTTCAATCTAAATGTTAAAGTGTAACTGCACTTCCTCACAATATTCCTCATAAATATGCCTAGAAGCCTCAAGAAAGACAATCCAGAAGGTCAATGAATTGAAGAAATAGGCAAACCATCATGCATCACTAAAAAGAAGGGCAATATGTTTCCAAGGATGGCCACCAAAAGAAGAAAGCTTAGTTCAGCTCTCTGAATAGAAACCACCATCTGTTCCTAAGGCAACACCAGAGCTGCCTGAAGACATCATCCACAGAGAAACAGGGATGGCCCCTCAGCACCCTGAGCCAAGTGTTAGGCTGCACCCAGTTTTTCTGGAAATCAGAGACTGGAGGATCACAGTACTGTCAGCCCTTTCAAAAGGACGGCATTACATAAGACACAGTTCTTCAATTTCAAGCTTTGAAGCAAAGATCAGTACATCATTAACCCAACCTGTAACAAAGCCATGTAGTTAAAAAAGGGTGGTACCTTCCAAGAGTTGTTATTCCATGTAGGGTTAGACATTACAGTTCTGTAGGTTCCTTGCACACTCACGAGAATGGCATTTCTGAAGAGCAAAAGGAAAGGAAAAAGGAAATTAGTGACACAGTAACGGTGCTAACAACCACTACCCAGCTCCTAAAACATCAAAAATCCCGTTTTCCCAGAGCAAAGGGCACATGGGAACATGTTGGGAACAGCAACCCATGCATTGCTGACATGGAAAACCACCAATTCAAGGTCTTCAGTGCTGACTGATCGAGTACACCCCAAAAACATCCCAGCAAAACTACAGGTGGCTGGGCAGAAGCCACTCGGGCACCATGAAAGCCCAGGGAACACATATAGCAGAGAAAGGACCACAAAGCCCCCAGAAGTCACAGTGGACCCTTTTCTTTACCTGTTCCTCTCTTCCCATCAAGCACACATGTTTTGGGGTCTGGGTGTGGATTCCCAGTGGCTGTTCTAACACCCAGATTCCTCAAGCCCCTGGAAAGCCACTGCTGTTGTACGTCAGCTTCTGCGTAACCCAGCCCCTCCCTGTACACTTGGCTGGTTTCATTTTGCCTCCTTCCGCTTTCCCTTATTAATCCACACGTCTCCAATAACTCAGTCAACACTTCCTTCTGCAGGGCTGACCTCCAGCCTTCCCATAACCCCAGCTGCACCCACAGTTTCTTAACACTGCTATTAATGAGGCACATTTCATGTTCTCCACAGGGATGTAGCCCTCACCCACTTCTAACCCCTCCACCCATGTCCCTGGCTGTAATTACCCCATCCCTCGTTATCTAATACCCAACACAAGCCTTGGGGCTGGGAACCGCTGTTTGTTTGGCTCTGCAGTGTCACACACCCCACTGGTGTTGTATAAATAAATTCCACAACCTGTTTGAGCCTGAGCTTGATTGAGATTTGAATTACCCCAGTTTCCAAGTGACTGCTGCAAATACCTTCGCTCTCTCCCTGCTGGCTTACGCAATCGGCCACCAAGGCAGCTCCAGGGCCAAACACCACAACAACCAACTGCTCCCACGGACCACAGCTGCACAGAAAACAATTTAAATCCCTTTCCTTTTAAATATAAATTGCAGATTATAAAGGGATGAGACAGGCAGGAGCACACAGCTTTCAGAAATGTGCCTCTGCCTGTCACCTGAAGGATGAGTTCCATGTGCCAGTGTCACCTCCCAGCCACCAAAGCACCCAGGCTTTGCCACAGCCCTTAACACTCAGCAGGTTACCCAGTCACAAGTCTGAAGTACCAGGGAGGATGAGATTCTGGAAGCGAGTTTAAGCTAAATGGATTTCAGAGCAAAATAAAGCCAGCGGGCTTCATCTCCATGGAGCTCCTGCAATACAACATAGGCTGAGCAAGTCACTCAGGGCAGAGGTCTTTCTTATTAACTACCTAGTAAATTCAGATTAAAGTCAGATAGCTTTTTCCCCTCCCTCGTATAAAAATCAGATGTTATCCAGCCCCAAGGAATCAATCCAGCTTCTGCAATAAGGAAAACCTGCTCACAGCTCCACAACACCACACACAATCCACAGGATTGTGGCCCTTCAGATACTCATTAATTTTTTTTTCCCTAGAAAAGTCTCCAGTAACAATTTGCCTTCATTTTCTGCAGTGAAGATGGATGGTAACTAAGTACTGGATATGGAATCACATGAGCAGTCCCAGTGCAGCCATCCCAGGTCATAAAAACACCAGTGTAATCCCACAGACATTCACCAAGTACCCACCTGCTCCTATGTGCTGATTCCAACATCTGAGGGGCCATCAAACCCCTGAGCCAAACACCAGGAAGACAGGAAGGAAGCACCAAGGCACTCTACAACCATTAAAAGGCAAACAGAAGCCAGAGAAGAGCCAAGGCTGGGTGTGTGTGATGGTGTTTACAGGTGGAGGAACTTTGCCCACTCGTAGGAAGGAGCTGTGCTTTACTGATGCTTCCTGACTACCCAGCTGAACCTCCTCTCCATAGGTGAGTCCCTTTCCACCTGGGTTACCCTTGGAGCAGCTTGGCCAGCATGAAAGATATCACAGCCCATTTTTTGGCTTCTTTTCCTTACAAAGTCAAGGCACCCAACCTCTTTAAAAGGCACTGTGGCACCTGTGCTCCCACATGAGACTCACATCCTAAAACATTCTCCCAAAGAAACCATGAGCAAAGAGCACTGTGAGTCAATGTCCCCAGCAGGCGGGGGTCAGGCAGCCCTGCCAGACTTAAACTTCATTTTTGTTTAAGCAATACCCAATCCAGCCTGCCAGCCTCCTGTCCCTGCAACATCAGTGGCTAGAAAGGCATTTAGGAGTCTGATCAGCTACAGACTCTCAAGAAAAATGTATTTTTCCCCAATATGAATAAATAAATACCTCTTCTAACAAAAAAGCTGATGTAATTCATCTCATTAAATAAGTCACACTGTTCTTATCAAGGTATGGATCCACTACAGTATATAATGCACAGGTTGGTTTGCAAAGTGTGTTTGGGCCTTTCCCTCTGACAGCCACCCTAAAAATGTAAGACTAAATTAAGGGGGCCTTGTAGTCTTTGTTCCTTTGAAATTCACACCACCTCACTTTATTCCCAGAGCTTAATGCTGCAGTTGCATCTACACAATCAACCCAATCAGCCAAGTTACAACCAACACAACCAAGCCTGAACTTACAAAACTACTAACTTTTAACTGGGCAAGTATTTTACATTTTCTTTCCCAAAACATTTAACCTGCTAACAAATACCTGCATTAGTGCATTACCATCCTCCCGTTGTCCTGGAGTGAGTTAGCAGGCTTGCAGCAAAACACAGGGAGAGCCAAGCACACTCTGCCTCCCGGCCAAGTAGAGCCTGCAAGAACAGACCCCCTTTGGGGCAGCGACAGTTGAGGTCAATTTAATGGGAAAACAAACTACTTTTCCATTCAAGTGCAAAGCAGAGACAAAGAATTTTATGTGGCTCAGATTGCACAGTCAGCTGTCTTTTTAGGAACAGATCAGATTTAATGGTTCTGTGGCAGTTCAGAAAAAAATGAGCCTGAAGAGAGTTTAAGGTTTGGACGGTATTGCACTGTGCAATACCAGGCACTTGTCTGGGGTGCTCTTGTGGCTCTAAATCGGTACCTTAAAGTCATCATCATCAACAGCAATTCCAGGTATTTTATGAGATACTGACCCAAGTTTTCCAGAGAAGCCATGGCTGCCCCATTCCTGGAAGTGTCCAAAGCCAGACTGGATGGGGCTTGGAGCAACCTGGGATAGTGGAAGGTGCCCCTGCCCATGGGACGGGGCTGGAGCAAGATGGGCTTGAAGGTCCCTCCCAACCTAAACATTCTGGGATCTTTTGATTTCCCAGGGTTCAGCCTGGAGTACAAATTTACTTTTACCCCGTTTCAAAGAAAGGCAAATTCTCTCTCCCAAGCTCTGCCAGATAATTCTCCTTTGCATCACAAGTTACATTTGAAACCATTTCTACTCCAGAGAACCAAAATGAGGCAATGCTTCAATGCGACCACCCTCACCACAGGGACTCGTATTCTGAAGCAGCCGAGATGCACTCAGGCTCTTTCACTCAACTATTTCAGGGCCCAATGCAGACAGAGAAGCTAATTAACATGTATTGCTATGGAAAGGAATATAATCCAAACCTTCACTGGTTTATATCTAAACCCTCTGAGACATCTAACGTCAAAGCTAAACAGATCTTCACCTGGCAAACATTTGGAGAGCCTTCAACTGAAGCTTCCAGGTAAGGGAATGCAGTATTTTAGGATATTTTTGCTACATACACTGGGGACATACCTCTAACACAAAGTCCAGAGAATCATCATGACAGCTGCAAAAACAACTTTGTCCTGGCTAACATTCACATAACGAAATTACAGTTTTACTCCAGGGAAAAAGGAAAAAGCACTTAAGTTTTGTTTAGATTGAAGTGCTTCGAGCCATGCCACTTATCTGCTATCAGAGCAGATTGCAGGGCTGCTCCAATGATTATTCTGTAATGAAGTAACTGGAATTGGAAGGTATGCAATTAGTCCTATCTCCTCCTCCTCCGCCACCCCCCTATCAAGAAGAAAACCAGCACAGACGTTATCACCTCTCCCTGGAGCTCTGCTACCCTCATCACTTAAAATACCCACAAAGCAAAGTAGGGCTGTCACTTACAAGCTGCTAACAAGCCTGGCTTGGTCCTGACTGGCAGCAAAGGTGATATTCTCAGCATCTCCCCAGAAGAAAGTTACAGGGTTACCTAATGGGATGCTTTCTCAGGTACCCACACACACGTATATATTAAGCTTAACATGTCTGCATTTAGTTATTTTAGTAAAAGCAAACCACTTTTGAGAGGGGAGAAAAAAAAAGTACTGCTGATCCTAGTAGCTTTAGGTTAAAGCATCTCTCACTAATCCTCCTGGGCATGCCCATTGGGAAGGGAATATATTAAACTCAGGACACAGGTATCACTTGCTGGCACTCTGGGTAGTTTTACTGACTCCAGCCTGGCTCATTTTACCTGGGTCATTTACCCTTCCTTCCCCTGAAGAGCTGTGCTTACGTCTGTAAAGTGGTAGATGCAGCTTTCCCATAACTGCAGCTAAGAGATGGAAGATGCAAAAAGGCCCCAGACAGCCCACAGCCAAATGGAAACTCAGTGAATCCCTGATTCCTAACTGTAATTCTGATAAAATACAATCTGACATTTATTCAGGCTCAAAAGCTCACTCATCTCTTCCCCTCCACCCCAGTGATACCCACTGGTCTAATTAAAGACAAAGCTTCTCTCAGCAGCCTCTGCCTTACATATATATCCCAGTAAAGTCTATTTGTGACCCAAGGAACACAGGTGATAGGAGGCATTCCCCAAAGCCTTAAAATAAAATAAATATATAAATATTAAATTAAAATAACCTTACAACCACCATTAAAGCAACATCAACAAACTTGCTCTGTATAGGTCCACTAGAGATGCAACAATTTTCACTCCCTGAATTCACTCAACTGAGTGAATTTCACTCGGTTTTTACTTGCTCCTCGACATTTTCCTAAGTTCTTCCCAA